TAAGTTGGAGTTGACTCTACGGGAACAGGGTTGACTTTGCTTTTTCTTATTATACAGCATTCTTGTTATACAGCAAAACCAGCTAGACAATCAGACTACTGAAGATGATGTCATAGGAGAGTCAACTTGACCTTTGGTGTATATTTTCCCCTTCAGTAGAAACCTTTAAATCATAAGAAAACTCTAGGGCAGACAGCCATGTGGCCATCCTTATGTGTTGTTCAAAGGGCAGGTGCACATGTTGGAGTTGGTGGCACTGGTCAGATACTAGAGTCCTTTGAGCCTTCAGTGGGTGTCGCCCTTAAAATGTTTACTACTCAGGGTTGTTTTAACAACAACAAACTTTTTAAGTTGGTAAGTGCTATCAAGTCATTTCTGACTTAGTGACTGTATACGGTTTTTGTGGAGAGGCTGAAGGATTTGAACCATTGACTTCGCGTTTAGCAGTCCATTAATTATCCTACAGCACCACCCCAGGAGCTTTTTAAAAGTACGTTAAAATTCTTGCTCACGGTTCCATCACAATTTAAATTTCTTAGGTAAAGCTAAAAGAATTCAGACAGTGAAAAAAATCATATATCCGTTTATGTGTGGGAGAAATTAATTTTGCATTTTAGAAACTTTGCAGAATAGGTTATTTTCTTTGTAGAAATAATTTTTAGTGCTGTAGGATAAGTACTGGACTGCTGGCTGCAAGATCTGCAGTTCAAACCCACCAGCCAGTCCTTGGTAACCCTATACAGGGCTGCTAGGAGCCAAAATCAGCTTGACACAGTTAACAACAATAATCTTCTTACTTTAATTATTTAATGAAAATAATTGATATTTGGTATCTTAATTATTTATGATAATACTCAATTGAGAGAACTATAGGAAAATCTTAAGGGAAATGAAAATTTCTACTTAATACTATTTGTGGCAAAACTCTTAAAGCCTTTTGGCCAATATTAAGATCAGATTTTTTTTTAATGACAAAGATTTCCATTAATAAGTAGGAAATGACTGAGAGTGGAGTATTAATTATAGTTTGTTTGCTTAGTAGTTCCTAGTGATCTGGCCCGATTTCTTTAGGTCAGGAACCCTTTGAAAGTAAAGCTTGGGAGCTTGTTAATGGCAAAAGTTAACTTGCAGTCCCTCTACTGGCTGCCTTTGTCCTAGCAGTTTTTTTTTTTGTGTGTTTTTTTTTTAAGATCCCTGGTAGTGTAGTGGTTATGAATCTGCCTGCTAACTTTTAAGGTCAGCAGTTTGAAACTACCAGCCGCTCCACGGGAGAAAGATGAGGCTTTCTGCTCCCATAAAGATTTACAGCCCTGGAAATCCTGTACAGGGTCACTATGGGTCGGAACCGACTCGACAGCATTTAACAGCAACAACAACAGCAATAGGACAAACAGTGGACTGCTAACTACAGGGACCAAGATTCAAACCCACCAGCCACTCCTCGAAAACCATATGTAGGATCCCGGTGACTTGGCAGCACTTAAGAAAATCCTTACATTTGAGAGAAACCATTTTTATTCTTAATAAGTATGTTTCTGAAGTCAGTCAATTGGGGAACAGTACGTTAGTAGACTTGCACTCAAAATTCACCTTGGTTATAAAGTAATAAACAGCTTTTATCTTAATTATTATTTTGAGCTGCTTCTGACTCTTAGTGGTCCTGTATAGGATTTCCGAGGAGCATCTGGCTGGTGGGTGTGAATCGCTGACTTTGCAGTTAGCAGTCCAGTGCTTATCCTACATTGCCACAGTAGGATTCCAGATACAAGGGCTTAAGAATTATTAAGTTAAACCATAGAAGCATGGCATTTTCTACTTCATGATAGTGTATTGCAGTGATTAATAAGTAACTTAGACTTTTGAATGTTAAAGTACATTCTATGAAAACAATATAGTAATTTTATGATACTGACAAAGAAAACATGGATTTTTACTAGACGCTGGGGGTTAGCATGCCAGTCAGTTTTTATTATGTTCTCACCAATATTGTAAAACATGGGAAGAGACAAAATGGTATATAGGCAAACTTTCTTGAAGCAACATATTAGGCCTTTCTGTTGACTTAGAAATTCATGTTGAATACTTAGATTAATGTGAAACATTTTTTATATGGTTATGTGCTAGGGAGTTTATTCTTGACTCATAGCACCATGGTATAGAATTTCAGAAGCTGTAAATCTTTACAGGAGCAGAAAGCCTTTCTCTCACAGTGTGGCTGGTAAAATCAAACTGTTGACCTTGGGATTAGCAGCCCAACATACAACTAACTGCACTACCAGAGCTTCTAAAACACTTAAACTGCCGAAACCTGGGATCGAACCAGGACGGTTAGATCTTCAGTCTAACACTCTCCCAACTGAGCAACTTTTGGCACTTCATTTTTTATATATACAGAGTCAGATGAAGTTTTTTTTCCTGAAGAAATAATAAAACATTCTTTTGTGCATACATTATTCATTTCATAATTATTATTTTATTTTTTTATAATACCTGATAGTGCTTTTCCTAGTGTGATTCTTGACTAACCATTTTCTTCTTAGAAGGGGATCTTAGGCCTGGTTAAGATATATAGGTGCATATGGATAGCAGTCCTGGTGTGGCGCTGTGGGTTAATGCGCCAGACTGCAAACGGTTTGAACTGCAAGGTTGGTGGTTCAAGCTCACCAGTGGCTCCTTGGAAACCCTATACAGGGTCCCTATGGGATGGAACTGACTCGACAGCATTTAACAACAACAAGGATAGTAATATTTTTCTTTACTTTTTTAACCTTTGATCTTTAACTGAGTGTCCTAAACTTTAAAGCCAGTATCTTGTATTGTTTCAAAATATTCTGAAGATTGGTTGAAGTTTTATTGTGAAGTGCTGTTGAATTGGTTTCAACTCATCGTGACCCTTTGTAGGGTGTCCGAGGCTGTAAATCTTTGCTGGAGCAGAAAGCTTTGTCTTTCTCATGCAGAGTGCCTGGTGGACCTGAACCTCCAACCTCGTGGTTTATAGTCCAGTGCTTAGCCTATGGAGACAGCGTGCTCCCTGAGGTTATATAGTCTTTTTCAAAAGTGATCATTGTTTTACATTGTGATTTATTTCACTGTGTTAGGGGAAGGTAGATTCATTTTTATATAGAAAAATTAGTAGGTAAGGAATCAGAGCAACAGGAAACCAAGTAAAGGAGTATTCCTACTGTAGTTTATTTCATTACAGATTATATATAAAAAAGAGACCTAACTTAATACCATTCATTAATTATTGGGTGAATATGGAATAACTTCAGTTGCTGTAGAATTATGTCTAAGAACTTAGTTGAAACCAACAGGACCTTAACATGCTGCAGAAAGACTGATTTAGATTTGGAAAGTCTTATAAAGATTCTGGTTTTATCTCTTAGCAGCTGGATGACCATGGGTTATAGCTTTTAATCACTGTGAACATTTTACCTTAGTAAGTTTTGAGAGTAAAATCAGCTAATACGCATGCCTTATTATTATTATTACCAAGAGCCTGGTTTTAATAGTTATATCAGACGTAGCCTTTGTGGAGTGGTATGTATATAGTTCTACTCCAGCAGTGTTTCAACTAAAAGCTTTGCTTTGTCTTATAGAAAAGAAACAAACTGATTTTAGCATTTGAATTCAACTTAAAATTAATAACATAAAGACATTTTAACTTGATTTTTAATATTATGGCTCTTAAAAAAGTTATGTCAGAACATGAATTCAATCCGTATATGAAGACTTTTCCATGGTAGATTGTTGATGTATAATTATAAATGTGATGAATTTTCTGGCTTCTCAATATAAGATAAAAGAATACTAGGTTCTTTAGTGGCTTAAAATTTTGGAAAAAAATTATTTGAAATTGAAATGCATTTCGCTTGAGGGAACTAGTCAGTGCTCAGAGGTGGGAATGAATATTTACTGTTTATAGGCCCATGAGGGGACGTGCATTATTTGAACTGATTATTCATGTTGAGAGGTGAATGATGTGTGAGAGGCAGTATAGTGTAATGTTGCCCAAAAATGTGTTCCATTTAAAATGAATGTTGTAGAGGAGGAAGGGGTCAATTAATTCATGTTTTCTTCCTGCATAATTCCCATAACGTTTGAATGCTATTATATATTTGAAGTCTTCTGGAGGGTGACATGTTATAGCCAATACATTTTAATTTTATTTGATCAGTGGACTCTTGCTTCTTCTGGTACCATTATTTCTTGGGCATCAGCTTGAAAAATACATAAGCCACTTAGAAGTTGTGTGACTTGATCAAGACAGTTAACTTGCCAGATTGCCTATTTTATGATGATTATATTATCACATAATTGTTGTTTGCAAAGTGTACATTCATTCAACAAATGTTTTGTGTATACTGTAGTGTTTTAGGAGGTGGCAGTTATCTAAATATAATAGGTAATAGAAATATATTTCTCTTCTTCCCCAGCATTAAGTAACCATTCTTCTTAGTTTTCATTTTTCTTGTTGGTCAGAGTAGTCAGAGTAGTTTCCATGGAGCCAGCTCTCAGTGCAGGTCCCCTCTTCTACCAAGTTTCTTGTTCAGTCACTTTGATTACAGACATGGCAGCTCTCACCAGGTGCCGCTTGCACTTTAATAAACGTTATCAGAAAATGATTTTTATTGCTGCAGTTTGATCTTTATAAAAAATGCCAGATTACTAGAATTGAACTACTAGGGTCACTTTTAAGAAATTAGCTTATATTTTCAATTACATCAATATAAATGTTCATTGTAAAATTAAAACAACAAAAGTAGAAAGTCACCTTTTTCTCTACTTAATCCTACTGTTTCAGGGTTAATCACTGTTTGAGTTTATGTGCCTTTATAAACTCTTAAAATGTATAATCAGGTATATACTATGTAAGAACTTTATTAATAAGTCAGCGTGATCTTATATGCTCTATTATGCAATCAACTTTTCATTCAAAAAAATTGTAAGTCGCAGAGTTTGAAACTTAATGTGTAATCAAATGTATATTTTGACTTTAGGGAAGAAACCCTTTTTTTTTGGAGCCAGCAATAATTATTACGATTACTGATGGGAGCAAATTGACTACAACCAGTGGAGTGCAGGATGAGGTAAGTTTTGCTTATAACAGCATTGATTATACAAATTCAGTTGAAATCTTTATTTGTATATGTACTGTAGCATATTAAGCACCTTAAATGAGGTTCTCTTGATTATTTGATGTAGTCTATTTCCTATGGCCCATTTAAATTTTCTTGAATAGGAATCCCTTCTGTGAACAAGTTTTGCACGTACTGCTCATACCAAATATATGTGTGTTTATGCGTTTATATGAAGATGGCAGTGTCAGTCCCTATAGTTAATATTAGTAAAATGAAGTTCTTATTTTCAGGTTTTAAAAAAATGGAAACCATGTTCTAATAAGTTCTTTCCATATTTGAATGGATTGTTGTGTGCACTCTAATGTGGAGACTCCTAAACTATAGAGTAGTAAAGCCGATAGGGTTTTCAGACTAGGCAAAGTGGAGATTTTGGAAATTTTTGTTTTTCTTTGAGTCAAATCTGGTTTAACTACTTTGTAGCTAATTTCACCTATTTTCTATTAGCATTCATTAAAGAGAGGTGATTTTACATGCTGCTATAGAGTGAAAGCAATAAAATGTTATTTTTAAAGCTATACGGTGCTTTTACTGTAGTATTTGAATTGCTCTTGAGCATTTTGTTTATTTTTTAAAATAGGTTGAGTTAAAAAGATTATTTTGACTACTGTTTGCATTTATTTGCTTTGGTGTCTTAATTAAAATTTCTGTTACATTTTCAAAGAGCTTGATTAATTAGGAAAAGTCATAGTTTTTAAGTTCAAGAATTTTTACTCGTATTTTCATTTGTGTGATATTGTGGAATGCCAATTGAATATGGAGTCAGTACATCTGTGTCCTAGTTTTGGCTCAACTACTTTCTAGCCATTAACTTTGGATGAGTTATCTAACTGCCCAAACTCTGTATCCTTATTTATGAGGTAAAGATGACAATTTTTGCCTTATCTCAGAAGGTTGTTGAAACTCTGAAAGGAAGTGTTTGTGAAAGTACTTGTTAAGACTGTAAAGTAAACAGTCTTGACTGCTTGATCTTCGTTTTGGGTGAAGAGAGCTAGAATTGTTTTGTTTGAACAGTTGATGTTAGAGGAAATTTAGGATCTAATTCTTAGAAATTTAGGTAGATTATAATCTATAATTAAACAATTTATGTGCTGTATGTAGTTAATTTTAGTATGCTCCATGGCTGATGTTTTAACAAGTTTTTGGACTTTCTTAGACTTATTTCCTGCATGTGAGATAACCCCTCCCAGGTGATCTGCCTTACTGGCTTGGGAGAATTGCAGTATATTTTGTTTCCATGTATGTGAATCTGTGCTATTTGCAATATTTGTTTCTGAGACCACCTATAGATTAAAAAAAATAATCTTAAGAAGCACATGGGTATTGGAATTTTTCCTTTCATCCTAGGTTCTTGGGAATGGTACTTGAGAAATGTGATTATGTGTAATCAGAATTACCTTAGAATGTGGTTGAAAAGGTATCCTTGTGGGTGGCATGGTCTTACCTTTATTTTTCTTATATCTTCGACAATATTTTGCCATAGCACAGATTTAATTGATTCTAGACAATGTTGTATTGAGTCTGGTAGTCACTGAGCTCAAAATTGATGACTACTGTTACTTCTTATCTGAAGTGGGAAGTTCATTTCTTTTATGGCAGAATTTTATTTTGGTTATAAAACATAGGCCTGTGAGTTGTTTTAATTTTCAGGTTTATGAGTGTCTTTGATCCTTTGCATATTTGGATTTTAATGTCCTAACACAACTCATCTTGTGGGACAGAGAATGTACTATACATGTACATATTGTTGTAGCTTAATTTTGGCCAAATATGGTAACATTTTGGTCTTATCTAATCTGAATAATTAATTAAATTATATGATTTAAGAAGCCTTCCAATTTACAGAAAAGCATCAAGATGCTTTTTGTTTTGCTCATTTGTATGTGTGTGCATATATGCATGCTAAAATCTGATTTGTGTTGTAATTTCTACTGTTGTTGTGAAGTACTGTCGAATTGGTTCCGACTCATAGCACCCCCTGTTTGAGGTTTCCAAGGAGCTGCTTGGAACCACCAATCTTGTGGTTTAACAGTTTAGTGCTTCTCCTACAATGCCACAGCAGGACTCCAGTTTCTACTAGGGAATAACAAAAATAATTTTGTTTTATATATTTTTTTTCCTAGCATCTTTGTCTTTGGTAAAATTTACTTTAAAAACATTTATTGAATGAATGTATTAAAATTTCCACATTAGGGGAGTACGTGTTTGTAATTCTTGGCTAGCTGTGACTGTTGTTTATATGATATGTTACTATTTATGGAGTTATGCATTCCACCTGTATGATATCCTTTGCTCAAGAGTCAAAATGATCTAACATAGAAGACTAGTTATGTCTGTTCTAGTGCTGTTTTTTAGGAGTGAGTGTTTCTGCTGCTTTAAAATTATCCTCATAGCATATGAGGACATTTAGATTTCATTTATTCTAATCTTTTATTTTACAAATGAGGAAATTGAGATCCAGAGAAGTAGAATGAAATTTTCAAGTAAACATTGGTTATTTCCAAAATCTAGATAAGAATTTATTTAAATTTCAAAGCCATCCCAGTCCCTACTGTAGACCAGTATTTGTTTCTTGGTACAATATTGTCCCTCTTTGATTGTATGTTTTGTTGTGTTGGTAAATATACTTTCTATCCTCCTGATTTCTCTCTGCTTCACTTTCTATATTTCTCATTCCCGTTGTGCTCCATGAATGACTTTTGTGCCAGAGCGATCCTAGCCAGTGAGGGTAACGAAGATGGATAAGATGGAGTTCTGGTTTTTAAGTTCCCAGTCTTATGGAGGAGATCACCTCTTAAGCAGTTTTATGAATAAGGATACAGATACAAACTAACTGAATGGGAACATTAAAGAGGGAGGATTAGTGTTATCTATCTTGTGCTCATGTTCAATCCTGTATGATGTGAATTTTTATAGCTGTAATTTCAATTTTGATAGAGATTTAAGGATCTTGTAGATGATTTGGTATCAGCTATGGCGCATAGTTCACACTTATGAGCCTTGTGGAAAAAGCCTGATATTCAGTTGTATTAACTAGAAAATAGTTAATAGATAAACTTGATGCCATATTGTCTCTTGATTTGGTTGAGACGTGTAGGTCAAAATGGCTAAATGTTTAATAACTTAATTTGTCTAAAGAATACAGAGTACCATAGGCTTTCTGTCTCCTGCAAAGATTTAAAGGCTTGGAAATCCTATATAGGATCACTATGAATTGGTACCAACTTGACGGCATTTAACAGCAACAATGTCCTCTATGACAGCTAGTAACTTAGCAGTGTGCTAGGAGTTAGGAGAGAAGAGTAGCAGGTTTTTATCACAGGTGAAAACTTGAGTTGTATGCTCAATGTACATTAATTTGTGACTTTACTCAAAGTCCAGGCCATTATCTGGGTTGATGAGTATGTTTCTAGTATGGTTTTTTTAGGTAACCATGTCTAGGGCTTTTGAGTAACACTTGGATTGGAAGTATATGTGTGTATTTTTTGCCATTTATTTTTTAATGGAGTAATTTGAGAAAACTGATTGCACTATTTTTATTTGTGGAAAATGAGTTAGTTGGGACTTTGAGTTCTGACACATAAGAAACCTATCGTATTTAACCCCTGTAGTAGTAATGTTTGATGTTGATAAATATTATTATGGTATAGTACTATTAATCATGTTAACTTACTAATATATCAACTACTTTGGCAGAATTCAAAATAGTAATTAGAATTACTGAAGATTTTCTTCCCTAGTTTTTCTTGCCTGCACAAATCTTCTCTTCTTTTCTAGTACTTCCTGCAGTGGGAAACTATTTTGTACTATGATTCCAGAAACACGTGGCTAACTATATTGCTCAATAAAGCAGTCCAGGATAGATCCACCAGTGCCGTCCTGAGGATGAATGACATTCCAGGACAGTGTGTAGTTATTTTTGCTTCCTTGAAAGTGCTAATAGTAGCACAGGCAGTCCCTGGGTTATGGATGTCATTTATGTACAACCTGTAGTTAAGAACAACTCTATTATATTAAAAACATAAATCTTTGTGTTCAGGTTTATTATATATATATATAGGGTTATTGTATTAAAGTCATATAAAAATTTGAAGTGCATAAAATGGTTAGTAATAACAAATGGGTACCACTTTGCGATGTGCATGGAAACATATTTATATTTATTATGTTTTAGTGTATATGGAAGTGTTTCTCTAATATTTTATATGCATTGAAAGGTACCCTGAATACTGTATACTAAGACGAACATGTGAAGTTAGATACAAACTGTACCTAACTATTCCATCTTACTTACAAATTCCATATAAACACAGATTGAGGAATTTAACTTGTTCGTAATTTGGGTACTCCCTGTATTACATTGAAAATATTTCTGTATGTTGAAAGATTCATTTATATCTTTCCATCAGTGTTATGATTGCTTTGGAGCCTAACATTCTAGAGAAGATGTTTTTAAGGGAAAAAAGAAGGACTATTGGCTTTTAACATTAGCAGTTTGATTTTTTTGTTGCGTCTCCCAATTTAAGAACACTAAAAAAACCAAACTGCCATTGAGTCGATTCCAACTCATAGTGTCCCTGTATAGGCTTTCTAAGACTGTAAATCTTTACGGTAGCAGAAAGCCTCTTTCTCCTGTGGAGCTGCTGGTGCATTTGAACTGCACACTCTGCTGTTAACCCATAGCGTCACCAGGGCTCCTTAGTTTAAAACCAATTTATACATTAACTGGAGTTCTGGTGTGATGCTGTAGGATAAATACTGGACGTTTAAACCTACCAGCCGCTCTACAGAAATCTTATGCAGGATCACTGTGAGTCGGGACCGATTCTGTGGCACTTAACAACAACAAAAAATTGTTTGATAACTTCTTGGGACAGTTTAGTAAGATAGTAGTTTATAGAAAGAATGTCTGAGTAATCTTGGCTATAGTTTGGGGTCTTATCTTTCAACTT